AAGCTATATCTCTGCAGAAACTTCAAATATAATAATCTCAAGAAACTGGCTACTTGAACGAACTCATATTAGAAACTCTAAATTCAGTATCAGCAATCGTCACGTCACAGCTTCCAGATGGAATCTGCTTGGTTAACCGTCATCGTAATCCAGCGATGGAGATCGACCTAACTGAATTTCTCGCCGGTTCCTGGGGACTTCTCAAGCCTAAAACAACGAACGATAAGTTCCTGTTCGACTGAATGTGTCTGGGAAAGTTTGCCCAGAAATCTGCCCGAAACAGGCCCAAATGTTGCTTGTGGATACCCGAAGACGACCAACAACCTCCCAGCAGCTTACTGATGAAAACTTAACTATAGTATGGCAATCTCGACTGTTTTCTGGTGCAATCAAGAGGAGGAGCATGCTGCCTAAATCGTATAACATTTGGAATTTCTCTGCCCTGGAATGAACGCTTTTTTTCAAGCTTTTATTGATGCTAGTTGTTAAACGATGTTGTAACTTGTAAATGAAACTAAAACGATGTAATCGATGAGAATGAATTGAATCATACGCCTCCAAATCATTCGAAACAGATAAACCAACGCAAAATCGGCACGATTTGTACGAAAATGAAAACATTTTCAATTGATGGAGCCGAAAAAAAGCGATCGTCACTTCACACATTTGTTTCCAGTGTTCGCATATTTATTTTTACACCACAATTCTATCGATTGCAATTTCACTATTCAATCCAAAAATCAACGGTGTACCAATAGTGACTGATGAAATGGGAAGCATTCGTCGAAATTATTTATAATACAATAAAATTCCACTCAAACGACGATCATCAAACGATGATGATCAAAGAAATTTCCCACTGCTCTAAAATCTATTGTGCGCTCACGCTCTGCAATGCTTGCTCATGAAATTTAGTCGGGGTATCGTTTTCATGGGCATTAAACATACGAGAGTTTGCACATGGATCATGGATTTCGTTATGATCCGAATGATCAGATCTTAGTGATCAGAAGTGTGATCAGAAAAACAATTTAAAATGTTGCATTCAGTGCAGTTTCGTGCTCGTCAATGACCTTTTGATGCATTCAGAAGGGAGATGCGTGTTTACGGCGCAATTAAAATGGCAACAATCATTCGAGAGAAAAGCATTGAATTCAAAAAAACATCGAAACACTTTGCTACGACAATAAACCAACAGAAAATTATCTCATCAGTCAAGCGTTTGGTGAGCTCGAAGCGTTCGATTTTCAGAACGAAGCCACCCCGTATCAAGAAGGTCATATTGGGATATTTCGAAGATGATCAAGGTTTATATATTGGTTTAATACGGTCGATAAACAGAGTAATTTGGGAAATTTCTCGAAAGCTGCGTGTGGGAAGCTCAAGTTTTTGCTTGAGTTTTCTAAAAGAATCACCAAACGACTACTGGGCTACTCAGCAAACTCCTTGGGAGAATAGAGCCGATGCGAGATGGCTTAAGATGAGCTGCTATATTGTCGAGTGATAACTACGCATAAAATATTATACCCAGCTGCACACTGGGATNAATCGAATGGAATTTTAAGATTGAATTTGACTGATCGTGACTAATCATTGAAATTCCACCACTACGACGACGTTTTGCAGTTGTATCAACAATAGAGAAACGGAAGGAAATTAGCTGTTAGCTGCTGTACGAAGAGAAACGTTGAACAGTGGAGTGTGGCCGGTGTTGCTTCTGTAAAATAAGTTGGAATATGAGATGAAGAGCTTGAAAAGCCAGTCGGCTGGCTGGCTGCTTGTTTGTGAAGACACTCGTACGTTCACGACGATGCACTATTATACACTCGAAAGCTTATGATTTAAGTACTTGTGATAGATGTTTAAGCAAATATGATTGGATAACATTGATTTGGATCAGATCAACAGCTGACTGACGAAGGACGATTGATCGTACAAATAGCAATTCTTGCGAAATCAAGAGATGAAATAAAACATGCGAGATTTATTGCTCTCTATAGGGCAGCGATCAAATCATGAAATTAGTATTCGGATCAGATCAGATCAGATCAGTGCATTCACATTCTATCGATAGTATCGAAACAACTCTAGAAATCGCATCTAGCAAACTGAAGTTTTGGAGCATTTTAAAGGATCGGAAAGCATTCCTAGAGAATGTGGCCGTCGTCGGCAGAAGACGGCCAAATTCTCGCACTCAACAAAAGCTACGTGTAAGCCGACGACAACTTACAAAATATCCAGCCAGCTGCATACTGCGCTATAATAACGATAAATTGGACACCGGCTATGCATTAACTGTTAATGAAGTGATTGGATAGAGTTTCCGCTGGCTCAATAGGATTCCCAAGAATTAAATGGGTGATTTTGCGGGATTTGCGGATATTCGCTACTAAAACTGGAGCAATCCCAAAATCCTGACTGCTGGACAATCCATAAGCCATTCTGGTAAGATCGAAGCATGGATTGCTGGAAAGGAAATCTGGGAAGTCAAAAGGAACCCGTCTTCAACTCCAAGGCAGATAGTTTCCTTGGATTGAAGGGTATCAACCCGAATTGTGAATCACTAGCTGTTCAATGTCACTGCTAGCTGCTGATTGGGTTGTTGGA